CATCACCAAACACTGCAAAAGAAGATTTAAATAAGAATATATACTAGAAATGCAGATGAAGAATAGCTGAAACAATGCCCAACTATCTAAGGCTGATGAGTTCTTAAGATCCTTACCCAACTTCTGACTTGCCGATGCTCATGTCTCTGGGGCTCTGGAGGTAAAACTAGCCTCCAAATCTCTGTGCCATGTCTTTGTCCATTTAGGACAGGAGAGAGAACAGAGGAAGAGTCTTGCCTCTGTATTTAGACTTTCCACTCTCCTTGCATAGTTTCTGCCTTTTTTTTTTTTTTTCCCTTAACCAGTTTTTCTGGCAGCTGCACAGGAATGTCAAATAACGGTATGGTTAAATGAGTTTCCATTTCTCTGTTCGCTTTCATTCCAAGCTCAGGATGCTGCCCATGAAACCTATTCAATTATCATAAAAACAACCCTCCTTGTCTCTCTCCCTTCTCCCTCTTGTCCTTAACTAGGGACTTGGCTCCAGCAGAGCATAGATAACAGTCAACTGAAAGTTGACTTTAAGATAGAAAGATTGGGATATGTTGATGACCTGCCAATGTTAGTCTGATTCACTCCAAGGTCTTCCCATCAACCAACAGCTCATCAGCATCTGAAATTTTGAGGCGTTTTGTAAAGTATTGTAGGAATACAAAAACTATTAGAACATAGGCGGTCCCTCAACCTGGTATAGTGGGAAGAGAACAAACTAAAATCAAGAGAGTTGACCTGACCCTGTGCTGTAATTAGATTAATAGCTGCCTTCCCTCCACATTCCCTTCTTTAAAATAGAGTGTCCTGCTAGCAGCCCAGGGTGGCATGATGGGCAGGCTTTTGTTCTTGTGACACCACTTTATTCACTGTCCCCAAAACACAGGTTCTCAGCTCAAGGATGAGGTTGGGCTGGGGTGATCGGATTGTCTCTAACTTGTAAATTTAGAATGAAAGGTCTTGGAGTGCTAGCTTTAGCACCGGGACCAATGCTACACTGAAGCAGAGCTAAGGGAAAGCTAAAGTTGAGAGGAATTGAAAGTAAAATTATTGCAGAAAAAGCCAGTATACACAGAAATGAATATAGCAAGTATGCAGGGAGAAGCAAAAAATACGTGACAACTATTTAGAGAGGCTTAAACAAAGAGAAAGAGAGGGGCAGGAGATAGGGAGAGAAGAGGGGGAGAGAAGTGACTAATTAATGACTGCCTTATTAACATGTGGCCTTGTATTTTTTGCAAACTATTCTATGACATTTCTCAGAGTCTTATATTGACCCTTGCTTTGACTTCAGCTTATATATTTTTATCCTTTGGAATCCAATTAACATTAATTACAGCAAATGTTGACTAGTATGTGACCTAGAACAGATCATACTACCTCTTCTCTCAGAGCTATAACTTGCTTAACTTTTAGGATGGTGATAGTTATTTCTCAATCACAGAACAGATGATAATACCTGTGAAAATGCT